TCGTAGACCGCCAAGTAAAACCATACCATCGTCAGTATACATCTACGTACTCCAAAAATATATCAAATTTTCGGTCTTGATGGTCATGTACTGCAATTTATTTCCAAAATTAAAAAATGTATGTGTAATGTGATCCATAATTAGAGCCCAATCAGACAAAGCTTCGACTAATAGGGCCATTATTATGGTAACAATATGCAATATTTAATTATAACCTTCAATGCTGTCACTCCGTTTGTAACTGACGGAGTTGCAGCTACAAGCCGCAGACGTATGGAACAATCCAGTGTTATACCGCATGTAATATCATAAGGGTATTCAATTAGCAATGCCAGTATTTTGGTAGTATACGGAGAAAACAGCAGGTTGTGTGTATTAATTAAACAGTCGGTACATGTTTCAACAAACGGCGGACATCGTATGTGAAATGAATACTGTACATCTTATCATATAAAACATAATCAGTAATCTGGTTCGACAGCCTCGACATAAATGAACGTAACCAAGATGAAAAGTCGATTAAAAGTGACAAGCTGAATAAACGACTAATGATAACATTCATGAGCGTACGTTAATTATAATTTATCAACCAGCCGCGAAATGTTAAGCCTCGAAGTTTTGATAAATTATTTTATTATACATATATTGTACTTCGCCGGGACCTAGACGTGGTAGTATGTAGCAGAGGATTCGATTTTAAAGTTCTCATCTAATAAGTTGAACAGCACATCCTAAAACACGCCTAATGTTTGGTAACGACATCTCTCCAATGACAACCATCCATTTCATGTGACTCTATCCTGTTTAATATCCTTAAATCCCGAATCATGATCAAAAATAATGCGCATATACTGTCGAACGGGACTGACGTAATTACCTCAGTCATTCCTGAGGTAATGAAGCACCCATTACTTGTTGATGGATGGCATAAAGAGCTATTTATTTTGCCTACCGCTTAACGTGTGATTACGAGTTTCATCTTTCTGTTGAATAACATGGACATTTTGCACATATTCACACAGTAAGACGCATATGTTTGTATACCGCAGATATAGCTTGATTTCAGTGACGAAATGCACCGGTGAAAACAAATGAAATCATCTGCTCGTTGGGTTTATTGTAATGGTGCTCGAATCACTGAATTATCAGAATGGGTATCCATTCAACCGTGGTCCAAAAATCGAGAGCTGTTTTAGAAAGAAATGCAAATTGTATTCACATAGTTTTTGTACACTTTAGCATTGCGACCATTTATCAGACCATCACCTATAAATTTTTTAAACGAAATTATACCTGGTTTTGGCTTAAGAACCGGACAGAAAATCAAATTAAAACTGACATCCTAGTTACACGTCGTGCCGATTATCACACTGGATAATCAGCTCTCAGGTAGGTAGACGCGAAATGCCGTCACAATGGGCGCTCGCTTCAGAAGACATGACTCAACACCTAGTGCGTTGTGCCATGACCGGATCAGAATACTATGTTGCTCCTATTATTTACAGGTCACCGAATTTCTGGCCGTTTTCCAGCTGGCTGCGCAGGAGGAATATGAGACTAATTCCCTGCTCAGAGAAATTTGCAGTATTGTCTCTTGGGAAAATTCGAACTCGGCACTTCCGGAGTTCAAAGCTAATCTCTTAGTCACCGTGCCCTCCCGCTCCAGCAGGCTATGGAGTTCCAGCTGTCAGTGATATAGCAATTAAAGGTTAATGTCTTTCGAAATGCTACCAACTATGAAATTCAACAACCAATCTTCAAGAAGACAACACATCGACCGACGTTGTACCACATACAAAATCAGTCTCATTTAAAACATTTAGGAAGAAGTGGGGCGAAACAACCATCAGAACTGAGAGTTTCCTATGCTTGTCATTGAAAGAATGTAAAATTTCAATACAACGAACCTTCCGACTACGCTCAACTGAGTCTTGCATCACAGAACTGGGGTTATGCTAAGCAATATGCAGAAATCTGAGTCTGAAAATTCTTCAAATACGGCTTTTAATAAACATTAGACGGTGAAAAGCCAGCGATTTCACTGCTCGTGGATGTACGCGGCTGTTTTCCATTGGGATCGAGTAGAAAACTACTGCTAACACAATGTACAATATCATTTGCCGGCCCTTACACCGAGGTTCGGTCTCTGGTTGAAACTCGCGAATGGCGCGATCGAATATTATACACTTATTCAGAAAAAAACGTGTATGACTGGTAAACTCGTTACGGAAGGTCAGGACAAGTTAGCACAAAAGTTATAGGCAAGTTCACTATGATCTGTTACGGTTTACAAACACTGGCAAGGTTAGCGTGTATCTGAGCCTTCTGAATGCAGACTGCCCCCGTAGAACAGTACCAACCAACTGACAAATAGCTAGATGGATAATGGCGGCTGAAAGACTAAATGCTTACCGCCAAGAACGAAGTAGCAGTGCAAACTATGCGGATGAAAAGCTTCAGGAACAGTTTTAAGAGTGGCCATCAACGCCTGAGCGATCACCTGACCACCGTACACAAGCGAACTTCCTGGGACACCGGAAACGAGTTTTCTGGAGCTAAGACAAAAATGTTATTTTTAAAGTTTTCCACTCCAAATAATGTTCGATTACCAAAACACATCACGATCAACCTCGTCCACCTCTAATAGATCTTCGAAAAGGTTTACCGGCGTGGAAACGTCCATTCTGCCGCCACCTGCAACGAGTCAAGCATTCAGCACACTAAAGAGAGGAGTGCTGTCGTCGATGTCGACGTTCGTTTCAACAATCGATCAGAAAGTGCGACTCGCCAGAATCGATGACAAATCAACCCGCTGACGAACTGCAGAGAAACATGGCTTCAGTCAACGTTGTTTGGAACACCGACGCATCGATCAATGGCGAGCTGATCGCCCGTTAAGACGCCACCACAACCGGTCACAATATTCAACATCTGACATAAAGGGGAGCAGAAGAACTTGCAAACCTCTGAGCTACTGACGCTGCCCTTCATTATTTTTTTTCCTTTATTTATTTCGGTTTATTTTTCAACACTGCACTGAGTTTTAGAAAGTTACAATTATTCCACCACACTAGATTACCACACCAACATCATACGCTGTTCGCACACCCGAGTATATAAAACAACGATTGACCCCTCCAAGGCCAGATTTCGTGGTTTTTAACACAACCCCCCTTGCTCGTAAGTGTTTATGAAGGCAACCATTTCAGCAAATCCGGATTCATAGTATTCGAGCACTTGCAGTGCCAGATGTTTCTGGCATCGTTTCGTCCCATGCTCATCACGAGCAATTTTTCAGGAGCTGACGGTTCTTATGATTCCGTAGTGGCACAGTGTCGACGAGGTCAGCTTTAAACTCCGGAGATACCGGGTTCTATTAATGTTGAAGTCAATCTTTAGCCTGTGCACGAGTCACGTTGACTGAAAACTTTCTACAGCATTGCTTTATTCGGTACAGCGTCGAACTCAAAGTGATAAGTCCTGAGTTTAAGCCACGGTTGATAAAGGAGCATCATTCCGTGAGAAGTAACCTGGAGACTGTATGCCCCACTTGCCATATGACTGTAGTTAAAAATAAAACTTTTGGCTGATGACATAGAGACGGAGATTAGCATTTAGCACGGAACCATCAACTTTATGAAAAGAAGTGTGCCAAAACGGTGCAGTCATTAAAATGAAGGACGACCGACAACTTATATGCTACCGCATAAGGCATCACGCTGTTGGCACGCTTGAATATGTCAAATAATGAAAGAATCCTCCAAGTCCTTTCCAACTGCAAAATACCAACTCCTGAAATATGGTTAATCATTAATTAATCAACAAATCAGTTTATTTTAATTTGTTGATTAACCTAACCGATCTGAGAATCTGATCATTCATTGTGTGAAGAAAAACGCAACGTTCTCATACATGGCGAACGCAATGAATAGCATGATCGTAAATTAAGCAAACCCTGGCACATCTCTGCTGGAATAACATCTTCGTCCATATGCTTCGGTTACCTGCCCTACAGGTCACAAAGAAGGCAGATAATCTGCAAAGACCACAAGTTTAAAGTAACAGAAAAACGGGACAACAGCAGTTCGTTCCGAAGCACGCACTGCGATGTGGATATGACAATAAACGCTTGTTTTAAACTATGATGCCATATTTTACAATCAGACGAAGGTCAATGGCCCGTGTGTAGACCGGTTTGATCCAGTTACAAGTGAAAAGAATTTCTTGTTTAAGAAAAGTAGTACTTAGTTGGAAAAGTTTGCACCACATAAAACCAGTATTGCAGTCACCTGTTATAGAAGAGACAGCAGACCAGAGCCAAAGTGAGAAGCGAAACGTCACAGCGAACAAAGAATGTGTATATTCGTCTTAAGTCTCCACGGAAGCCGACGTCTGACCGTATCTGCCCTGTACCTTGAAAGAAATTTGCACAGCAAAACAGTACTGATTTTGGAGTCGCTATTATCGTGAGTCGTTGACCATGGCAGAACGTCGTACCACCGACCCCTTTGCTGTAAGACACCTGTTACTGCATTGAAAAAGGGGCCGTTCCTCTCAGAAAGAAAATCTGTCTATTCCGTGCTGCTAGGCAATAAGCCTACCCTCTCGACAACGTCTACAATATTTCAGTATATGCATAGGAGCCATAAGGTGAGGACTTCATAAACAAGTTTTCAAATAACGCGTATTTTAGTACTCATAAGATACGTGTATCCGGCGACAATATGGTCATTCCATACGCAGCACACAGTCCTGTCATTTAACTCATATCAAATGCCGAATGTTCAATTACCGCAATGCTGGAGTTTGGCCATAACAAGGGTTTTTTATGGAGTAAATCTATACTACCATCCCTCGGGCATGGTACATGCGTATTTTAGTGAAAACCCGTATTCCCTTCTCAGTCACCTATTCTACAGACTAAAAACACAACGATGTTCCTCCATTTTAACTCCAATTCACTAAAACGGTTGCCAGAATAAAGAAACCGAGGGAGTGAAATCAAACCACCTATTTCTACCATTTGATTTCCTAGCATTGGTTGTAGATTCATTTTGCTGAACACGTTGCCCAAAGCTTTTCACTTGTGTGCACAAAACAGGAGAGCATGTTTCGAATCCGATGCATACAG